ACTAATGTGGAGACTCACACAGCATATTCGGAGACGTTCTGTGAACGGACGTAGGACGTCCCTAGAGATCTGGACGCCCACAGGACGCATAAATATTGTGTTGTGCGGAGACATTTATATGTAAATTATTATACAAATTTTAGAATATTTGACCATTTGGTTTTGAAAATATAGCAATAAGAATTTAGAATTTATAGTAACACCAACGAGATATATATATATATATATATATATATATTCAATATCGCCATTGAAAACCTGGCATTCTACGAGCCAATTACTTTAATATGGACGAGAGCAGAGTGTTCAGCTGACAAATACACGGAGGCACAAGATGGATGTTCGTCGGTATTTTTCGGAAAATGCATTTGTAGAAACGCGCATGGACGACACGTGCCATACGTGTTGCTACTACAGAGTTAAAAATAAAAATATATCGGTCGTAGTAATTTAATGATAAATGAATTGTGTACAAGAGCCAGGACGTAAGTGAGTTGAAGAATTTAAACATTTAATAACGACTGTATCGCAACAATCATTTTTTACATCAATACACCGCAGGCGGAACGGGAATAGTTGTCTACGTACGGCGCGAACATATTTCAAATTATTGTAAGAATTTCTGAACACGAACGCGGACGGAATCGCTTTATTATGCTATCGATCTTCCACGTTTAGAACAGCAACGTGCGCAACGAATTAAGAATCTCTATATAATAAATACGAGAACCTCGGTCTTCTTGTCTTCTCTCTCTCTCTCTCCACGTAATAAATCTCTATTACGAAATAAATGTTAAATTCAAAGAAACGAGCGAATTCGACGGGATCGATTTTACCGGGAACGAAACTTGATTGGATAGTTATCGTTTGTCGGTGTGGTGGCTCTTTAATTCCGAAATGAAATCCTGCTCCCCCGGCGGAAATTCGCTTCGAACGAGAGAAGCACCACTCATTGTCCATTTACGGAGATACTGAATTCGTAAAAAGATCCGCAAGTTTTACGCGCTTTCGCGCGCTTTCCTAGTTTCACGCACGCGAGCTCGCATTTCCACTGGTATTTTTACCTCCCGGATCCGCCCCTTCCCCTTGCCTCCGCGAGATTCCGGAAATACGCGCAATAATCGGACCATTTTGTTCGCTCCGCAGGTGAAACAACGACAGCGTACCTAAGCGATGATTTTCTTGCGGACGTGAACCGGGCGAATGGGACAACGTGGGAAAATCGAGTGGGAGAATCAGACTGCAGAAGGTTTATTCCCTTGGACCTCGTTTAGACCCGTCCCTAAATCACGTTCATCGACCGGAGGGAAGTTTGACCTGGTTGCGGTCGGAGGTGGGTCTCTCTCTCTCTCTCCTTCTCTTCCTCTTTTCACGTGTAATTTACATATATTAAATCATATTTTTGGGCTAGACTCTTGTTCGCGAATTACTACGGGTGCATTGCGCGATTAATACACGACACGAAAAAGCTACACACACGGTGAAATCCGCGAGAAGTTCGATCGTGTATCGCTCGTCTTCCCGACATACTGTTTACATTTTAGAAGTCATTTCAGCCTTCTAAAGCCGTGTTTTGACGGTGACCCGAAAATGTCTCTCTCTTTCTATCGGGTTCTAAACGTGCCAAAAGCTGCACTCAAATACGAACCAAATTAGCCAAGATTCTGAAATCAGAATGCAATTTGGCAAGTTTCGTTAAAGGGAAGATTGGCGAGGTCCCCTTCCCGAGACAAACGTACACGACCGGACGACGTCAACGGGATATGTTCAAAAAGCGTCCTCAGTATTTCGGATTTCTTCTCGTCGTCTCTTGCTCCGCTCGCATTCTCGATTTACCGTTTCTCGATAATCGTGCTTTTCCAAATTTTGAGTCTGCATTGACCCTGCAAGCTCTGTCGAATTTGAAGGACCAACGGAGAATCTCGAGATGTAACATTATACGGGCTAATTGTATTTACTTTGACGCGGAAAATGGTTACTAATTGCCGTTTGTTGCCATGTTGAAGCTCAAGAAGAAGCACATTTATTCCAGAATTATATAATATTCGAATATCTCACTATATATATATATATATATATATTCCATTTATATTTATACTTTATCCTTAATTTCGGTAAACAATGCGTTAATTATGTAACTTACTTAACCGCGGATAGAGTAATATGCGATGAGCAAATATTGAATAATTAATATTATATTATAAATAAAGAACAGTACATTTTACTTTTTTCATAATTTCTATTTTCTTTTTTCATCGGTTTTGGAAATTTCCGTGAGGGGTTTAGGAATTCAATTAGAGTGTAAGAGCGTAAAAGTAACGGTTGTGTCGAATAATGTGCCCTCCGTTTTAACGGAAACATAAATTTAAATCCGGTGCAATAACAAGGCAAACAAATAGACGTAGGAAGAAGACGTTGGCAGATGTCAACAAGGTGGGGCCGGCAGCCCAAGGAGCATTATTAGACGTATAAATCAACACTTGCGAAACCTGCACTAAATCCTAAGGCCAGTATTCATAGATGTAAATTAATTACAATCTTGGATGGCATAATTAATTAGAAATTCATGAGCTCAGCTGTGCCGATCAATATTCCTTGTATGAAATAAGTAACACATCGAGCCTCAACACACTCAGAATATAATCAGGTTACTAGTATTTTCTGACCGTATACACATTTCTTCCTGGATATTAACGTAAAAGCAATTATTGTGACTGTTACAGACATATTGTTTTGACACATTATTCCCGCTTGAATAATCAATAAATAATAAATCGATATTGCGTGCACGAACGGGAAATACTAATAACTTGGTTGCACGATATGTTAAGGCTATTATATACCTGTCTGCGTGCACAAGTTGACGAGCAACTAACACCTCACCCTACAGTTATAATTGTTTATTAAACAGACTACACGAATACCGGCCTCGAAATTTCGACTCAGGTATCTCTTTGTTCCCGATAGGTTTGCAGAACGTATTTCAAGATCGAAAATATTCCGCGTATTGAAAATGATTTGACACACCTGCGAATATACGATGTATCATCACCTGCGTCCTGCGACCTGACATCTCGATTCATCATCCTGCCCCTGGCTGCTGCGTTACATTTCGAATACTCCTTCATGGCACTGACACTGGCATTGACACTGACATTCTGGCACTGACACTCGCGTACAATACGGGTTCAATTGGAGACACGTATGTGAACTGACACGATACTGACGAGAGAGAGAGAGAGAGAGTGTGTGTGTGTGTGTGTGTGGGTGCGCGCGTGCGCACGTCTGATTAAATATTTCAAGAGTCAACAAATTATTTTTATCACCCGACGAGTATGATAATTAATTCAGCGATACACATGTTCCGTTGCTCGTCGACTTGAAACGTAACGACCCGGTTACGAGACAGAGTACGAGAGTCCCAGGACAAGAGTTCGGTAAGACAAAATCACCTCTGGCCAATCGCCAATAGCGTTTTCGCTCGTCGATCATTTCGCGTCCCTCGCCGGCCGGAAACGCAATGACTCGGTCCCGGAAAAGTACGCACAAAAGTGCTCGAAAAATCAGTAAAAAGGCAAAAATACTTTGCGTCGATCAGCTAACTGTTATCACCCGCCAGTCAACTCGCGCAACTTGACTTCGACTACCGAGAGATCACAACAGCTGCTGATATTTCGAAAGTCCTACCTTGAACTTGCCAACGTTCTCTCACTTTTTTTCGGATTTAAATGACTATTGTGTTATTGTACCGAATGCAAATTTAAATTTCTCCACAAAGAAAGACATTTCGTTGGATTTAATAAAATCTTTTTAATTGAAACAAACTTGTTTTTCGGATTCTGGTCTTTTGGAGCAAATAAACAAATGTTTGATTCAAGAAAGAGAATTGTTTGGTTTTTCAAATAATAAATATTTTTATGTCAAATAACGTATTTTTCATTCATTTATTTATTTTGATTTATTTTCATCCAAACATTACAATGATTGTCACAAGCAATAAATTATTTGAAAGAAGTAACACTAGGTTAGAAAAATATTAAAGAACTTCTTTGTTTCAGTGGTACAATATTTACTATATAATGAAATAAATATACTCTATCTGCAGTCGATCAAACCACGTAATTAATACACTACATTAAAAGCAGATAGAATATCGAGATTCGAATATTAAATAATTCTAAAACAGTTCTTTAAATTTTAACATGGAGCAAGCGGCATCGAGTAACCATTTAGTACCAGTATCAAAAAAATAACAATAGCCTGCGTAGCTGTTAACTATTATATTATTATAAGTTTTTTGCTTTCCGATGTTAAATTTTCCTCAATTTTTCGCCTGGATATTTCAGTGTGTAGCTATTAACAAAGCTAATGACACACATCATGTTGCTAATCGCAAAAGTAAAATTATCTTTTCCTTGAAAAAAAAGAAACACTAATTTACTTGGCGACTATTTTCGGTTTCCTTTTCAAATCGCTATAAATACTGCTTGAATACACATTTGAAAATGTTCACGTAAACTTAAATTACTTGACGTATTTTTTATCTTTGTAAGGTTTGTTAGGATTGTTTTATCCCGAGCTTCTCCATTGACCCTTCAAGTCCGACGTTCACGCTTTCCAAGAGCGAAAAAAAAAATCGGCGTTTCGCGCGCGACGTAAGCCATCCCGAAAGCACTTTATCGAGCACCGAAAACGAGCAGGAAAGAAAAGAAAAATCAAACGGGACCCGGGGGGTCAGAGACAGGTCCCGCTTACGTCTCTCTGGTACAGCCGTCGACGGCGTCCAGGATGGCGAGGAGCAACGACAATGGGGAGGTTCTCGGACGCGGTTTCGAGCGCACCGTTCACCGCCGCGATGCCGCCGTCTCGTCACGTGGTAAGGCAACGTCCCAGCGCCCCGAATCGATCGGCGTCGTTAACGGCGACAGCGTCCAGCAACGTAGCAACGACGACACCACCGAGAACAGCAACGGTACCAGCGGGACCGGCAGCCGCAGCAGCAGCAGCGCGATCGCTCACGATCAAGGGGAGGGTACGGCCGATTAGAGTTACCCCCTTGAATGCAGCTGCGGCACACTCTAATATTAACGTGAGTCCTTCAATGTTACCACACTTCTGTCTTTTAACGTAACAATAATAATAATAATTTTTCGTTGTAGTTCGGAGATCTTACGGTAACAGTGATGTTGCACATGTTGCTTTTCTTCTTCATACGTAATTCTACGCTTTACGTTACGAATGCTGAGTGTTTGAGTAATATTTGCAATATTTTTGTCGTTTCCCCTCGAACGATCAACAGTCATGATGCACGAACGTTCAGATACGATGCGTGTAACTGAAAATATTTAGTGACTATATTTAGTAAAAGAGATCAATGCCGATCGATGCCGGTTAATGCTGTGTATAGTCAATTGAAACGCTTTGATCACGAATTTCGGAATTGGATCTCCGAACGAGAAAAAATGAATGTTTCAGAACGCATCGAACAAAAGGTCAACCTTTGGATGAATTGATCTTTGGATAAATTTTTCGACAAAAACAAAATTCTCGCGCGGAAGGAAAAGAGATTAGTTGCATCAACAATGGACGTACTAAGCGCGTTTTAATTGATAAAAACAGAACTTCGATTTTCGAGCTAAATTCGTTTGATAAGGACCAAACATTTCATTTTCCTCAGCCAAAACGCGTTTAAAATTCATTCATCATCGCGTCAATTCGACCGATCTTTGTCTCCCCCGCGTAAATCGAAGATATGGGACGCTAAAAATTTACCGAAAGCGAAAGTGAACGCGACCTTCCCCGACAAGCGTGCGGCTCTAATTGAGTTCTTTTTTACACGAGGCAACTGACAATCACACACTTACCGATGCGATTCGCTTCGATTCCCTCTCCAAACTTTACGGAGGTCGCGAGCGATTAATTAATGCACACGTCGAACGACAGTGGCTGTATTGTTAACGTGTGCGCGCGCGAGAGAGAGAGAGAGAGAGAGAGAGAGAGAGAGAGAGCGGATGGCTGTGGGAGGAAAGAGGGTAAAGAGGAAGAGAGGGAGGAGGGAAGGAGGACAGATGCGTCACACAGTTGTGCAAACAAATTAAGCTAATTAATCGGGAAGAACGCGGGCAGCCGCCGCGTTGCAGTCGGACCTCTGCGTCCCGTTAGGCCTCTTCTTCTTCTCTTCTTCCTTCTCTCACTTCCTACGGTCGTTTCGTGCCGCGAGAGCGAGAGGAGAAGCGCACACGGGTTCTTCGCTGCTTCGCCGTGCGGGTGCGGTGATCAAACGGCAAGTTGCATTACACGTCCCGTCGTAAACGATAGATTAAATTAGACGTCTCGCTCTCACTCTCTGTTCTCCCTTCGCATCCTCCGCCATCGATCACTCTCGCGCGACGAGATAACGATTGACACGGGAAAAGGTAGTTTACCTTAATGAATCTATCTTGATTCGTTCACCGTTTTAGGTTGGTGCGAAAGGTCTGTCGTGTTTGTCAATAAAATAGAAAGGCGTAGTCGTTACTAATACCGAGGGATTCGTCGTTTTCACGAATAAAGTGAACAACATCGATCCGGTACCTCTTCAGATATCTAACGTAGGCTTCCTATTTTCCTTTTAATCCTATTTTTTATCCGATTTTAATCCTATTTTCATTCTATTTTCCTCTTACCCAAACATCCTATGAGAATTTAACGGAACAATGACAAACCTTCTGTGCCAGTCGGGGGACGATAACTTTGTCCGCCTGGAGTATCCCCGCTATTTTTAGAGATATGAAAATATTTTAATTACGAAAGTCGTGTAGTGTCCAGAGAGGATCATACGCTGGTAATAATTTTTCTGTGGGTGGAGACGCTTCGGAGATTTCAAGGTCGCCTTTATTTTCTCGAATGACATGCTGTGCTTTTTTATCTTCGATGTGCCAGCGGATGTTCGGGCGATTCCAACGACCTACGGTACAGGATCATTCGATATTGAATAAAACGATGACTTACGTCATGAGAGGTGCGTCACGAAGTGACGTCCGATCTTTACATCGACGCAACGTCGCAATCGTCGAGCTCCTGAAGCACGTATCGCACTCAGGAAATGATAAGAAGTATGTATGATAAGAACATATTATATGTTGTACTGTAGGTCGTTGGAATCACCTGAACATCCACTAGTGCATTAAGAATAACAAAGTATAGCATGCTATAAAAAAATGGGGGTGACCTTGAAATCTCCGAAGCGCCTCAGAAAAATTATTACTAGCATATTATGACCCTCTTGACGCTACAATTTTCATAATCGAATCATTTTCATATCTTCAGAAATAACGGGAATACTCCAGGTGGACAAAGCGGTTATTGCTCCCCCTTGTATACAGTAAAAAGAAAATAAGTATTACATAATTACTAAATAAATACTCTCTTAAATTTAGTACCATCTTACATTCACATTCAGCAATTCATTTACAAATTAAGATATCACTGCGTGCACAAGTAAGTACTTATATTGCAAGATATTGAAAGACATACTTAAATCGATCAACATATTACTTGATTTAAAAAGCTGAAAACCGACAGTTTACTTGATTCTAACACTTTGCTTCCGTGCATATTTTCTAGATAAGGTGTCCCTACATTGTTGTGTATAGAATAATGAATTAACTACACGAGATTGCGCTCGAGCCTCGAATTTTGTCGTGCGACGACGCGGCGGGGAGGCTACAGATTTGCGGCTGGAAAGCGACTTGTGTAACAAGAAGCCCCGCTTTCGATTCTGCGTTACGTTGACCCGAGCCTTGAACCGCGTGCTCGACGAGCTGTTGAAGATGATCGATGTAACGACTCGTGACTCGCACTCGGCGATGCCGTACATGTGATGCAGACAGGGTAGCGGAGAATAATAATCCCGTCGCGACAACAGGACAAAATTCGAGGCTCACGTTCGGCTCGCTGTCGCGGAACGTCGACAGCTCGCGGCGATTCAGTTTCCCGCTGATCTTTCTGTTGCAGAGGACGAGTGGGCGAATGCATCTCGCAGGATGAATTCGTGCGCGGTCTACTTGTCCCAGCTGCGGGCGATGCTCGTGAGAAATCTCCTGCTGAAGAAACGCGAGAAGCGGAAGACGATGGCGGTATGTCGCGAGCCCCGCTCGCAATCTTCGATATGTCGGGTCGAGATGCAAAAGTTCGTTACACTTTTCAATCGAAGCACATACATACATTTATTTATTTCGAGATACAATCGATTAGGTGTGCGCAGATTTATTCGACGATACGGCATCTCGCCGGCACACAGTGATATTAGGGAGGGTTTTTCTGGGGATTTAATATACGTGCTTGTTTCATTTGGATTTTTCAAATATAAGTAACGTAATTTTGCGTCAAATATCATTTTGTTCGAATGAAGATAATGTTGCTAACCAAATTGCAATCGTTGAATCAACCGTGATAACTCGTTACAAGCAATACCGCGTAATTTGTCGTCAGCGGACTGAGCACGGTGTGCTTGAAAAAATGTGCGCCCGGTTTAAACGAAATGTCGTTCACTCTACCGCTTTTCTCTCTCAGCGTGGAAATTCTGCGATTACTGATGATCGAAGGGGAAAAAAAAAGAAAAGCGGAACGGACCTTCGCGTCGACCCGATATTCCCCGCGCGGCTGTTTTCAGACGTTCGTTAAGCCAGCGGCACACGATGCTTGTTTCCGTGTTGGATTGCTTGCTGGATAGAAACACTGCGTTTTGATTGATGTATTGTCATCCGTTTTTGGAAGTGCACCAATCAATATGTGCCTTGAGACGGTCGCCCAGTGTAATTAAAGAATCGTGTCCGTCGCAGTAATAATTAGCGGCCGATACTTCCTCGCCTAGCCAAGAGCCGATTATTTCGGCTCCGTTAGATCGGCGAACCCGCTGTGGAGGAGGTCGGCGCGAGATGCATTCGGCACTCCGTGTTCGCGGGAGCTTCGCTCGCCTAATAATCCCGCGAAGGCGTGAATCCAACGTGAGAAATCAGCATCCACTTGTTTCGCGAGGTACGTTGGTTGGCGCGTGCCAAGTGGACGTTACGCGTATGCGTGTAGCCGTGGTGTGCCGAAGTACGCTGCCAAAATCCTCCTCGATTCCCTCCTCCTCCTCGTGCCGCTCTTCGGCAGCACGCTCGCATCGCGAAGACGACGGGGGAGGAACTCCCAAAAGCGACCCCCTCGTCGCGCGTCCTGCGTGACGAAGTATCAAATAACTCCGTAACGAGTTTTTCGCGAAGGAATCCTCGGCCAGGACGAGGAGGAGTATGCCGCGCGCATTCGTCGGAGGATCCCGTGGAAGAATCTCGCGAGCACGCTCGAGCATGATCTACGTGAGGACGTACAAGCTAAAACGACGAAAAAGAGGAGGCGGAGATGCGGACGCTTGCGAGAGCGGCAACGGAGTGACTGCGTCCCGTCGCCGGTCCGCGTCCGCCAACTGCGCTGCCAATTGGACGTTTTTGCATTTTCGCCGTGCCAACTAGGCCAAGGGTTGGCGGCGAGGAAGAAGGGGTTCTCTCTTTCTCTCTTCTGTCGCGTCGAATTATTCGCGCCGGTTTGTTCCCCCTACACTGTTATGAACGCCCGAGCTGCGATTAATGGTGCTGCATAGAGACTATCAATCGGGGTGACCCGATAATACAAACATTATCTTGTCGGGTATCTGTTTTCTCCTTCTTAGACTCTTCTTTTTGAGTATAATCGTGTAGAAGATTCTTTTGGATTTAATTGGGATCCAGTCTGATTTCTGAAAATAATTATGGATTTTATGGGTGGTAAAGAAATTGTGTTAAAACAATTCGCTGAAACTGTTTGTTACTTTAAAGGGCCGTCTACAATAGTAGCGTAACTACGAACGTAAAGTATGCGGTAAGATGTAAACATTAAGCTAATTAACCAACTATAGCCGATTATTTTTAGACTGTAAGAATCCGATTGGTCAATTAGCTTACTGCCTACGTCTTACCGCTTATTCTACGGCTGTTTTAGACAGCCTTTAACATGGTGAAGAGAACATAATGATAAGTATAATGCTAAATTAGCACATTCACTTTATCAACATATGTCAACAAGGTTGCATATTTCTTAATACGCAGTGTATATTTTTCATACACATTCCCCGTGTTAAAGTAACACAAAATGTCAGTGAACCGTCTCTAAAAAAACATTTTTAACTGACGGAAAGTCTAGTCGCAGGCTGCGGTTGGAATTGAGTGATGTCTCACAAAGTACGATATGTGTGACACGCGGAAAGCATTAATAGATCCTATTTGATCATCCCCGACGTTTTCCCGCAGTGGGACAATCTGTTTCGAGACAACTTTGGATTATCTAATCGGAATCTGCCGTGTATGGAAAAATTTAGGAAACATTTCTATGCGTGTGATTCATCCAAGCGAAGATGTTCGCTGTCGAGTAGAAAAGAACGCGCGTACTCGTTCGTTGGGAGGATCCCCGAAATTTGTCCATCGAAATTTTCTAAAATTTAATTCCCAGTAACTTATCCCACACTCGAGTCTCGACTCTGAAGTGACCAGCGGTCTTCTCAGTTTGAACATTAATATATCTACGGACTGACAGATCCGGGGTGCGCGATCTCGATTCCACGTCGCCCACAAATTGACGTATTCCACATCCGGCGAGGATATTCTGCATTCCGAAGAAAATGTAATAATATATTTCAATTGTCCATTTAACGCGGGCTCCCAATATTCGCGGTATTTGCCGAATCTAGGACACGAATCTAGGATATTCATATCTCACGAGCTCTCCGCGACGAATTCTAGAAGTCCGACTTAGCGGATCTGCAAATCTCTATCAGATCCAAGTGTTCATAGTTATCCACGAGTCTAAGGCGCGTCGTGCCTCGTTACCAACTATTCGCCGCGTATTTGCGTCACGTAAATGCGCGTGCTTGTCTACACGCATTTAACCGAAAGGGTCGAGCACTTTCCCACGATGCTCGAGTACCGTGGTCGGTCAGAAAAAGCCTTTCTTTATAAGTTCGATAAGCCCGATAAGTTCCAAAACACATCCCACATGGACCGTGTCAAATGAGAGAATTCGTTTCTCACAGTAATTCTCGGGAGATACATTTTTCTACCGGACACGAGATGCGTTGCGAAACTCATCGAGAAAATGAGGCGTCGCGCAGAAAAGAAAGTCTTAAATCAACGGTGGATATTCTCATATATAAGTAAGAATACTCTACTATTCTTAGAACGCTTTTGGCCTTGAATTGAGTGCAAGTGATACTTGCATCGATACGAATTCAACCAACCGATTAAAAATCCTCCGAGAAGATTACAATATTCTTGCTTATACATGAGAACATCTATCATTGATTTAGGACTAATCTTTCCTCCGTGAGTGATCGAGCATATTCGGTCGAACTTATTCCAAAATCCACGCAAATTCAAGTTCAATGAAAACACAGCTCGAGCGACGTTCACCCGAGGTTCATTTCTTGCGAGCGTTCCTCTGCTTGCCGTCCTTGGCCTTGAAGATGGCCGGATCCAAGACGTTGATGGGCCCGTTGTTCCACAAGGACGTCGACACGGTCTCGCCCGGTTCGATTATGGACGACAGCAGGTGCGGTCCTACGAGAAAGTACGCCTGTTCCACCCAAGTGGGCAACGGCACACCGACGACGCAGCACTGCCATAACGGCAGGCCCAGGTGGACCAGCATCATACGGAAGTAGGTGGTGAAATCGTCGGCCAGTTGGTACCAGCTGCCTCGACGGTGGAGCCAGATGCTCGGTGAATCCTGCTCCTGCTTGGAACGATACGCGAGATAGACCTTGCCGTTGCCGGCTCCCGGGTAGCATTGGCCGATCTCAAAGAGCTTGCAGTCGCGGGAATCCCCGGAGAATAACGCGTCCGTGCCTTCCGTTTCCGCTGTAGAGTCCTCCACTTGAGTCCCCGAGGACGACGACGAGGCGTCCTGCGTCGACGGGCCTGCCTGTCGGTCCTTGTCGGCGTACCTCTTCAAGGACGACAGACTGCCGATCTCCATGCGGCCGATCGGGAATTCCTCACCTGCAGGGTGAAACTGTCGTGGAAGAGGGCCGTGGGGAAAAAAGGAGATCTGGTCTATCCATCCTCATCTTCTACATCGAGAAGAATAATTTGCTGGCACGGGGTGAAAAATTGTATGCTGTCGCAACAAAATCTGTTGGTTATTGTACGGACGGCGAAACGATCGGTTAAGAATATTAATTGCCGTTCGTCGAATTGGCTTGCTGAATCTGCAAATTATTTGGCTGTAAGAAGAAATGAGAAAATTCGAAATTTTGTTTCCCCTCAGCCAAAACGCGTTTGGTTCGTCTATTTTCTGGTCAATTCAATCGAACTTTTGTTTTTCGTGTGGCAACAAAATTGTTTTTGCTTTAATTACGAGTAATTCGCTAATTTGGTCATGTAAAGCTAAATCGTTATGTAAACCTTATCGCTGTCCCAACGATATTCCCTGTAATAGCCAAGGTTATTTTTCTCCGTGTGAGAGAGATGGATATTGGATATCTGAATGAAACGTGCTTAATGAAGGGAGGTCAACGTAGAAATTTACCCGCTATGTCGAGGTTCCACAGCAGCAGGAAACCGTCGACGGACGCGTAGAAATTCCGAATGTTCTCGGGAAGCGTGCAACAGTGGCGTTGCTCCCAGCTGGTGATGGCTCCGGGCTCGCAGCCGTTTCGTCTCTCGACCCGCACGTTCTTCACGCACGGCGAGTTCTCGAGGATCTTGACCACACCCAGGGTCAGGTTCTCGTAGAACGAGTCCTCGGTGACGATGTCCACGAAGAACGACATCACCTCTAGGTCTTTGCCTTCGGATACCTTTCGCGAAATACGAACGACGTTTAAAGCAAAATCTCCGACTTTCGCGACGAGAAATCTTATTTCGCGAAATGTAAATTGTTAGTTTCAATATTTCGATTTCCGGGCTGCGACTTTACATTTTCTTTTTCTATTACTCTCTCTCTCTCTCTCTCTCTCTCTCTCTCTCTCTCTCTTTCTCTGTGTGTACTTTTTCCAGGTCGTCGCACACGACTCGGATAACCCTCCGTATACCATCATCACCCATGGACCCAATTTCAGTTTTTAGAGTTGCTTTTTTGAGCACTCTTAACTATCTGTAAGAAATTACATCTCCTGATTTCTATTCTTTTTTTAGAGATCTTGCAAAGAGAGAACAGAAGGAAAATTTACTCATTCTTCTTTTCAAATGGAATAAATTAGTCTCTTAAGGGGATGCAAGGTTGATGAGGAACTTGGTAAGCGTCGATATCGTAGAGACAGGTCTGAAAATGTTACATAACTACTACATAAACACTGACACCATCACACCATTCTTTTCATATTTCCCATACACATAGATCTCATGTAAATGCGATGTAAATATAAATACGATGAATGCTATTCTGTTTTATCATATCTAACGGAAAGTCTAGCCAAGATACGTAAAAATTTTTCTGCAAACTTTTTGTATACATCTAGACCTCTAGATATTTTATTGAGAAAATATAAAGATGTTTTTTTGAAATCTCCTTAATTGGAGCATTGACACATTCAGTATATAAAAGCCGCATGATTTCTATATCATATAAATATTTACGCCAACTGACAGAGTCGGGATATTAATTTCAAAACTTTTAATCGTTCCTGTCATAAACCGAGCATTGCTCCGAATTCATTTTCACGCGTACTTTCGCTGTGCAAAAGCATTTATATATATATACGGAGAAAAAGTTTCTTCAGATTTACAATATATACGTGTATGCTTCAAGTATGGTGATTAATAATATATAAACCCTTAATAATTTTCAATTAATACGACAATGATATACCGAGGGTTGGTTACAAATTCGGCCTCTCGCGGACCTTCTCTTCATCCTCGTGCCGCGCCAGTTGAGAGTTTTGAAAACGTAATGAGCCGTGACGAGCAAGTACGAGCGCTAAATTAAGCCACAGATGGAAGCGATTACCATGTATGCTTATCCCGTTCCGCTCCGCGATCATTCCACCGCCGAGATGTGAAGAGGGACCTTTTATTCGTTCGTTCGCGCAGAGCGTCGAACGTGACGACCGGCAGCCACGCCAAGCTGCATATCCGACCTCTTATGCACGGCGGGTTCGAGAACGACGCGAATCTCTGCACACGACAAGCTCTACTCCGTCCTCGATATCGAGGAGGTCGGGGGAGGTTGCCGTGGGCTTCCACCCTTCGACGTTTCTGTGATCGGAGAGTGTGCGCCGTTTCCTTGTTGATCGTCGCCATGGCGACGGAGTTTCGAAGCCGTTAATATTCTTCGGCGATGCGGAATGTGCCACTTGTAATTTTCACGCTCTAAATTATGCGTCTCCAGTCCGCGTAGGGTGAAAAGTGGAAGCGAGAGACGACGCGTTTCGTCGCTCTCGAGGATCGTCTACGGACGACGACGCGGTTTCTTCGGTCCGTACGTGCGGAGAGAGAAATTCGCACGCGATCTTGAAAATAAAATCACCAATGTTTGGACACGTACCATTAACATTCTTATTGTTACGGTCTTTAAGCGTGAATATTTAAACTTTCGACGTAGAATAACATAGAGGAGAACCGTGACGTTACAGTCTTCCATTTATATTTTGCACGATAACCTTGTTGATAATTTGAATGATTGAATGATCGAATGATCGAATAACTACTAATTTAATTAATAATTCCAAAATGTGTACACGGCCATTTTCAATAATTACTAATTCGAAATTTTGCGTGTTGTTTGCAGAATGGTAGAGGACTTTTTTGCTCACCTCAATCCGTTCCACGCTCTCACGAGGTTCGTCCACGTTGATCTGAGACACTGTATACATATATTCTATGTTGAAAGTTGAAATATTCGTATTTAAAGACTAGAACGATAAAGAAAACGTCCAGAGAGCAGAGAGGTACTTATTCAGGCATTGGTACTTTCGCTCGAGATAATGTTTTGGCGGCGTGTTGCGGACGACGAAGAGAGAGAAGCGGGGAACGGCAGGTGCGCGCCGAGGATAATTACGAGACACGCACGCACGCTGAGGGGGGAGGGGGGTGGTTTCTTGCCGCGCTGAATTCACGTAGCGTTGCGTTTTTAGGGGCGCGGGAAACACCGTGGGGAAGAACGTAGCGCGGAAACCCGCCACCACCGCGGCACCCTCGTATACTGCTAGGTATTAACTGCAAGAAGCACGGGGGATCTTTTATTTATCCGGGATAGACCGTGTAATTATGGTACGACCGCGTCGTATTCGCGAAATAACGAGCGCGTTCGCTGCAAAATAAAACGTTCGGTTCCCCCCCCGCCGGCTTTCTCATCCGCAGCGCGGCCGTCGTGGATAAACGGCCGAGGATACGAATTTATGTCTGTAATTTGGCTTAATGTATAATTAATTATCCGACCGTTGTTGTTGTTCTCCTCTTCTTCCCCGAAAGAGAAAGAATGAGGGAGAAGAGGAGAGCTCGGCAGCAATTCGTTTCGCGCTCTTTGACGTAAAAACGTTCGATGGAGTTTTCGCTCGAAGAACCGCCCGGTCATCCTCAGGCGAAACAAAAAGTCATACAAAGTCATCTGTGGGAAATCAAAGTTCAAACAAATACATTTTGTTTCCATCTCCAAGGATGATTTTCAGCTTGTCATCATCGCTAGAGGTGGTTCTTTCGCAGATCTTTCTTGTACATTATCTTGAGCTCATTTTAAAACAATCGCATGAACCAAGGTTAAACAAAAAAATTCCACCTCAAAACTATGTTTATTTTCCCTTTCTTCGTGATTTTGGCACATTTCGAAAGGATACGCAGCCCTCCAATTTGTTCGCGATCAGTCTTATCCTTCTTCTCTAAAATAAGACCTTAACGAAGGTGATATGTCAATTTTGCAGAAGTTTATGAATTTTCAAAAATGCCGGTGCATATGTGTACCACTGACTATTAAATATATTGAACAAACAGTCTATCCGGAAGGAATTAAATCTGTAAGTTCCGAAGTCACATAATTTCATCACTTTTCTGTCGTGACCCTTGAATGTCATTTTACTCGTCATTTTGACGTTACCGTGACTTTTCGTTCTGTTTGAGAATTGTTGCTGCGAGCGAAATCGCGGAACGAGGCCGTTAACGATCGAGTGCGGGACACTTGGCGCGTTAACATTTGCCTGATTCCGAGAGAGAAATCAGCGGCGCTCGATTGTCCACAGGAGATCTTTCTGCCCCTCTACACTCTCGGGGTCTTGATCGTGGTGAAGGTCCTGATTCCGAACCCGAACTATCCCGCGATGACGACGCAGCAGCGCGAGACGGAAATATTCGAGATATACAACGGCTACGCAAACATCACAATTGCCGTGGTGCCCAATTCTACGGAGACTCTCGTAAGTATCGATCTCTCGAGGCCAACTCGCAGAAGCGCTCTCAGCGCGAGCCGAGATCACCGAGAAGAGTACACCGAGTGCAGCGAGATACAAGGAGCGAGCTCGTGTGTATCTCGTGGAAAAATAGCTCGCGTTTCCGTGTTCAGTCTCGGTTTAACCTTCCTCCACGCGCGGATCTCCCTCTCTTTCTCTCTCTCCCTCTCTCTCTCTCTCTCTCTCTCTCTCTCTCTCTCTCTCTCTCGAATTTCCCCTGTTGAATTTTTCAAATTCACTCGCCCGTTTGAATAAATCCTCTCTCTTGCTCTCGAATTTCACAATAAGCTGAGAAACTCCCGGGAGTAAAACTCTATCTTTCTCTCTCGATTTTCGCCGTGGAATGTCAAATTTCAATTTTCTTTTTATCGTGACGACAATTTCGTGAAAAATTGCTGAAGAAAAGAGAGAAAGATCGATCCCAGGCTCGTTAAAAGTTACATCTCTCGCTCGCGCGTATCTCCTGACGATATTACATGTCTCGCGTGCTTCTTCGAAACGGCCGGAAATTGTGAGATTCCGTACGATACGAAAGTTAACAATGTATTTTCCAGAGCTTCCTAGGCTCCATGAACACCCTCTGGCTCTCAATGTGGGATTATCCCGGTAAGTTTCCCTTAAACTTCATCGTGTTCGACACGAAGGACGATCTGCAAGCGGCGTATTGGAGAGATCCCTACAGCGTGCCCATAGCAGTTATCTTCGAAGATTCCCAGCCGATAACACAGCGTCTCACGTAAGACTATTTTCCATACAGTTAAACCCCGTAAATTTCCACGGCGGCACGCGATCCTCCGCGGAGGAGGGATGATATTCGCGTATTCGCGAGAAAAGAGAACGGTTCCTCACGACTGAAGGCGCTTTTATCTCTGCGCGTTATTCTTCTTTAAGGATGTATCGTCCATAACTCGAAATAATGAAGAAATTATGTAAAATTTACAAATTGATCTACATTGTACTTAAAAGTAATACCAAAAGTTTGACAGCGATTCAGAGTCTGGATCGAAAGTTATTACGCTTTAAGGGTATTCCGCTTTAAATGGACTTTCACTAACTCTGGTTAAGTTCAAGCGACGATTAACTCAATGGAATTGACCAATTGCATTGATCAATTTAGCTAATTGGCCAGTGTGATTGATCAATTCCATTGAATTAACCGTCGACTGAACTTAACCGAAGTTGGCGGAAGTCGTCTTAAAGAAGGTTGCGAGATGAAATAAGTTTGAGAAGAATCTGATGAAACTTGCATTGCATATATATCGGAATTTTATTTAACTCATTGCTCGTGCAAGAAAAAGACCGACCATTCGAACACGCTATTTGTAACTAAATTTGACACTTTTTATACGTGCTCCCTGAGATTAAGCGTGCTATTCCTAATTTTTATTTTTAATATCTTCTGAACTATAAAAATAAGATTTTAATGAAAAATTATTATGGCATTAAAAATTAATATCACATTTAAATATCATTTTTTAATATCACAATATGCACACATTTCAAGTTGTGTAAAGTTAAACAATATAGCATAACATTTTTCCTAATTTGGCCAACCGCTGAAATAGATTTAATATGGCTACTTTTTCGAAGTTTTCATGTCGAGATAGCTTATTCGACAAGTCGATAATTCAAGTTAAGTTTAAAAGTCTCTTCGTTTTGTAGAAATTGATCTTTCGACAGTTTACATCTACCTTCTGACAAACAAGTCGGTATCTACATTAAAAATTCACGGTTATATTCATTATTGTTTCTTCAAAGAGAGTTTATTTCGAATAAATATGTAAATTCGTAACGAAGCACTGTTTTTTAAATAAAACCAATTTTTTTTTTATTTATTTCATTAAATCATTAAATCTTTAATTTTAAATATTAATTAATAACAAATTTTTTTTATTTACTTCAGTAGGAGTTATTGTATAAAATGTAAATAATACGTAAAAAATTATTGTATAAAATGTAAATAGAGGGCCATAACACCTTTTCCTTTAATATTTTCGTATTTGTAATTTTGTTAAACAACCTATCTATCTCAATTTCGTTGCAAATTAATTTATTATACATCTATTATTTAGGTAATGAAATAAATGTACGGGAACATAATTTTGCTTGATAAGTACTAAATTTATGAGTGGTTCCATTCCACCAGTGGTTCATTGAAAATACGACATTGATGAGTAATATTTCTTTAAACATACCCTATCACCCGTACGAATAAAAATCTCGAAGACTCTAATTCGTTAGCTGAACGGACACGTCAAGAAGGTGATTTCTGGAAGTGTTTCACTCGTCACGCGTCACAATTGTCTCTCCTCCCGGATTAATCAAAAACTAATGAGAATGGGAAAGAGGCCGCGACGACGCGAATTGTTATTTAATTCCCGTTAAAATCGGCGATCTTTCACGTCGCTCAGGTATGAAATTAGGACGAATCCTTCGTACCTCTCGCCGCCTTCGCCAACCGAACTGTATTCCGCTCCGGTCACCTGTCGAAAGGACACCAGCCATTGGATGGGCGGCATTTTATCGATAGAAACCGGCGGCTCCTGTCCCGTCAACGATTACTTGTATTCCGGCTTCTTGTTCCTGCAGATGTTAATGGACGTCACGAAGATAAGAGTGAGCGTCCCCGTATCCCTGATTTTACTCGTTCCTGATACATTTCCCGATATCGCGGATATATTTTTGTATCGCGTATGTTTGGCAAAAATCTGCTGAGAAACGAGATGCCTCGAAATCCTGAATGGTTTTCTGAATGACATTTCGTTGCAGTTGGACACGGGAAACCCCAACCTGACCGTACCGGACGTCAAGCTCCAGATGTTTCCGAAGGAGGCATTTACCGCGGGTAAGCAGTCGCGTCTGGAAATTCTTTACCCGCCGATCTCACGGGTGTAATTTACTTTTGTATTATTTTCTCAAAGGGAATATTGATTTTCCCTCGGGAATTTATCTCACTTATTATTAAACTTTGTTTTATAATACATTATTTTACATGTATGATATTGTAATACATACGTACATACACACATACGTATATAGAGGAAAGGTAATATTACGGCCCCTCTGAATATTTTCACGAAATTTCACGGGGAAAACGATTCGGCTAACGATACGTACCTTCACCTCCCAGATTGGATGGTGGCCTTCAGGGTGGTCATCCCGCTTTACATGGTCTTGGCGCTCTCGCAATTCATCACGTATCTCCTGATCCTGATAGTCGGCGAGAAGGAGAACAAGATTAAAGAAGGGATGAAGATCATGGGCCTACACGATTCTGTGTTTTGGTAAGACGTCGCGGAATTTGTCCCGAATCCGACGAGCGATCTGATTTATCGAATATTTGCCTTGTCCATTTCAGTTCGTGATCGATAATGAGACATGCTCGCGCCATGCGTCACGAGCTTTCTCTCTCTATTTCACGCTTTTGCAGGTTGTCGTGGTTCATCATCTACAGTATCTTCGTCCTACTACTCTCCGCCGTCGGGGTGATACTGCTGTTCACTCTGCAAATGTTCCAACACACGCATTTCCTGCCGATATTTCTTTTGGTGGTGCTGTACAGCTTCTCCGTGATCATGTTCGCCTTCATGATCACGCCGTTCTTCGACAAGTCGCGCGTGAGTGACTTTCTTCTCCAATGAGAAGAACCGGCTGAATTCGTATCTGAATAAATATCGAGGAAAATCGCGATACGATTGGTGCAAGCGTCCTTCCTTTCTGTCGCAGACGGCCGGCGTCTTGGGCAACTTTGCTGTCACGATACTGAGCTTGATGTACTTCATCCAAGTGTTCGTGGACGACTCCAGCTCGGTCTCGTTCTGGCTGGTCTCTCTGCTCAGCCCGACCGGAGTCGCTCTGGCGATGGACAAGGTAAGTCTTGAAGAATGAACGAATGGATTTGAAATAGCGCAAAATTTCCAGTTGTTAATTATTGCAAATAGCCGTGTGTATACGGGCTTCTCTGATTAATAACTCAAATATTTGCGCGTTATTTGCAAAATAGTGAAGAACTTTAGTATTCAGAGTGGCCTTAGTTACAAATATATTACTGTTACATCTGGCGACAGACATCAGTATATTAAACTTCGAGCCTGCCGCTAAGTACAACAGCTGTCGTACACTTGTAGATTAGGCTGCTCTGAATAAAAAGGGATTTTACTATTTCGCAAATAACGCGCCAATTTTTGAGTAATTCAGTTAAAGAAGCCTCCGTACATGGCCATTTTCAATAATCAATCACTCGAAATTCTGTGTGGTTGTTTGCAAAATGAGGACATTTTGCTCACCCCAACTCCGCTCTCCCTCACTAAGTTCGTCCATGTTGATCCGGCACATCCTGTATAGTGAATGTATTCTGTTCCCAAGTTGGCCGAAGGGCGTGGCAATAACCAGTGAATCTGTTGCGAAGAAAGATCAAATGAGCCGTGTTGCGACTTTATTCGCTGGTTGCGAGGATTTTCCTCGACCATTATTACGAATGTTTTGACGGTGAAAATATTAGCACGTTCAGACACGCATCGAAACTGCAGCCATGTGCGATCCTTGTTGTGTATCGTGCATTTCAAAAAGCCTCGCCTTGCTCTGTGTCGCCGCAGGCTCTCGTTCTGGATCTTCAGGGCGAGGGGGTGAACTTCGACAACCTATGGTCCGGGCCTGGAATGCCCTTCGGTGGCAGTCTCATCATGATGACTCTGGATATATTCCTGTACGGTTGCCTGGCCTACTACCTCGACTCCGTCATACCCAGTACGTTCTCGCGCGATACGATGTTGTAAAGTCAATTTCAAATCTCTCTCATTTCTCTCTCGCGTCTAAATAATGCTTGCGTACTCCTTAAAACAATCAATGCATCTACGGGTCAGACATCGAGAATAACATCCAACGATATCCGCATATTCTTTCATTCGCAGGTGAGTACGGTACGAAGAAACCACCTTGGTTCTGCTTCGTGCCCGGATTTTGGTGCCAGAGGAAAGTCCAAAGGGTAAGTACTAATATCGCCATTGCGAGTCCGGCACTCGACGGAGTCCCGACTGCCTGAAATGAAATCATCACGGCGCAACTTGAAGAATTCTTGAAAGAATCGCGAAGAAATCGCCGTTAAGCGGACCGTTCGGAATGAAATCCACCCAAGCGCGCGAAACCGACTTACAGGTACCGTCGTCGAACGGCGAGTCGAACTCCTTCATCCCCGGCGAGGAGGCGAATCGCGACGTCGAGCCGGTGGTGCGCGAGATGAAGGGCCGGGAGGCGATCAGGATAGCCGACCTGTACAAGTCGTACTACAAGTGCCGGCGCTCGGAGACCAAGGCGGTGAACGGCATTAACCTGACCATCTACGAGGGCCAGATCACCGCTATACTCGGCCACAACGGCGCCGGCAAGTCCACCCTCTTCAACATCCTCACGGGCCTCACCGCACCCACCGCCGGCACCGCCCTCATCTTCGGCTACGACGTGCGCGACTCCAACGACATGCGGGCGATCCGCAGCATGACCGGTGTCTGCCCGCAGCACGACATCCTCTTCGACCTGCTGACGCCGCGCGAGCACCTCGAGTTCTTCGCCGCGGTGCGCGGCATATCGCGCTCGTTGATACAGCACGAGGTACAGCTCTTCGGCGGCAAGCCGGCCATCTTCCACGATGGAAAAGTATAATCAATCGCGAGAAGATTGCAAGATTTTTTTTTAATTTCGGAACGCGTGTCCGATAGGAGAATTTTTTTTCCTTTAGTAGTTCCCAGATTTCCCTATTGGATATATGAGATATGTCGGGAAACTCGCCGAGGAAAAAGTTGGCAGCCTTCTTGCGATTGACGATACACGCTGAGAGGGAGAATATTTTCTTATAATGTCTGAGAAATGAAAAATATTTACTCGGTGTACTGGTGAATGTATTATATGGAAAAGGCTCTCGAGATATACAAATGAAGGAATAAAAGGCCAAAGTAAAGGACATAAATCAGAAACCCGTAAAGAACGCGGCATTAACTCGGAAGCCAAATTAAGCGTTTCTCGACACCGCGTGAACCTAAAATATCAGATTCAAGATCATCTTAATTTCATCTTGATGAGGTCTTAAATATAAGACCTCACTATGAGAATCCATGAAATGTCTTAACTGTATCTTGATGTGAACTTGAAGCGATCTTAAATATAAGATTTGGCCTTGCATACTCTTCGTGAGCAACGATGACGATTTCTATCCCACATATACACATTAAGTCCAATAAAGTCAAGTTTAACTTGAAAATATCGAAAAGACTCTTCTGACTGATTTGACAATTCGAGAAAGCCGTATAAACGCGCTACGACGATAAGACAAAGTGAACGATGCTTGCCCGTCCCGTTTTATGACGCGTTTGATTCGCAGGTGAAGAAAACCCTGAAGGACATCGACCTGGTCGAGAAAGCGGATACATTCGCGAAATATCTCAGCGGCGGTCAGAAGAGGAAGCTATCCGTGGGAATAGCGATCATCGGGGATCCCAAGATAATCATACTCGACGAGCCCACCGCCGGGGTGGATCCGTACTGCAGAAGGCAGATGTGGTCCTTGCTGCAGTCGAGGCGGCACGGGAAGGTGATACTGCTGACGACTCATTTCATGGACGAGGCGGATATACTCGCCGACCGGAAGGCGGTGATCAGCAAAGGGAAGCTCCGGTGTTGCGGTAGCTCGTTGTTCCTGAAGAACAAGTTCGGCATTGGATACCACTTGACGTAAGCCAGCCGCTGGTCTCGCTATCGGTATCACGCCGGATACAGAAGACAATTCGAAACGTTTGATATAACCGGGAAATGGAATAGAAACGGAAAATCGGAAAGTAGAAGGAAGGAAATATGAAGTATCTTTTTAGCCCGCACACTTTTCTCGGCCGTTCTAAATTGAGTAATTCTAGACGAAAAAAAGAGAATATCAATTCAAGGTTCATGTGTAAGCAAGAGTATATAATCTTATACAAAGGTGAAACACGTGCTGTTATACGTGAAGAAATTTTATATAGTTTCGCTAAAATATTATATTCTTGTTGTTCAAGAATAATTTTTATAAATTGAGAGGAAAAAGTACCGAATAGGGGGAAAAATGTGGAAAAAAAATTAAATACGAAATCGTGATTATAGGCTGGTGTTGGAAGGCAACGCCAGGGAGCACGCCATCACTCGCTTAGTGACATCGCACGTGACGAAAGCGGAGAAGGCGCGGCGTCACGGTCGCGAATTGAGCTTCATCCTGCCTCACAATTCCGTGGAGAGCTTCGCGCCCCTGTTCTCCGCCATCGAGCACGAAATCAAGACAAGGTCGAGCAGACTCGGCATCAGCAGCTACGGCGTGTCGATGACCACCTTAGAGGAGGTGTTCCTGCACCTGGAGAAGGACGAGGAGACCGAGTGCACGATGGACAATCTGTCGAAGAAGATGGTGCGCAATCGCGCGCTCAGCAGGTCGCTCTCGTTACAGTCCAAGAGCACGTCGTACCAGAGCTTGCAAAACGAGGGGGTGACCGTCCAAGGCGACAGTCAAGCGAAAGGTAACTCCCCCCCCCATTGCCCCGTACATTCTTTCATCCGTAAAGAAAGAAATACGATATTTAGCGCTGTCAATTAGAGATATTAAACATTTCGATAAATGATTGATATATTTACATATTAAATATATCACGTATCGGAGTTTAATTATATCGGACACGTTGGTGTTGATATTATCGAATGACCGATATCAGGTACGAGCGATCTGCCGGACGGCGTTCATAACGACAGAAATCCGCCTGTCCTCGGCCTCGGCTTAGACCCCATCAAGGTCCGGCCTAACTTCCTGCAGATCCTCTACGCCATGCTACGCTTGAGGGTGCTCAGACTCTTCAGGAATTTACAGCTGCTCTACTTCACGCTTGTCGCGCCGCTCGCTCTGATAGTGCTCGGCCTCTATTTGAACAGCATCCAGACGGTCGACATCAAGATGCAATCGTTGAAACTTAATAGCCGTAAGTGGTTGCAACTTATGCAAGGTAGGAGGTAATTGCGTGGCTGCTTTTTTACCTGCACCCAGTGTTCACCCTCGAGGCTAGAGCGCGGCACATATGACGATTAATAAATTCTTGGGATAAAATGAATCGATTATGACTAGTAATGTGAACTTTTCAATTGCGTTTCTGTAAAATGTGACGGCAAAATTAACCAGTCTGAAATATGATATTGTTTATATAACAAATGTATGCAGTTATAACAGTTGTAACAAACTTTTGCGGAAATGTGTGTATTTAGATTCGTGTGGCGTCTGTAAGTCGAGATTAATCGCTTCTCGTAATTAAGCATAAGACTGCGCGAGTTTAGCAGACGACGTCGCGTGAAAGATATTTCGAGCTTTGATTCTACGACGAATTAGAGACCTGTACCGCGTGATTTAGCACGAAATTCAGCAAGACTCGTTACACCCGCGACGGATCAGGCGATATTGCCTTCGTCTTTACAGATACGTACGGCGAGGAGACCAAGATCGTCTACATGAATAATACCGACCGCGACATTAGCGAGTTGATGGACGGCATAGCTCAAGACGCGAAGTACATCGAGGAGTACGACGGCAATTTCGCGAATTTGCTGAATATCGCGCCGCACATCGCCGCGTTCAACATCAACGACTACAATCTACCGCGAATGAACCTGACCGTGGTCTACAATGACACGATGCAACATTCCCTGCCAATCTTGGTGAACATTCTCTCCAACACTTACCACAGGTGAGCTCTCTTATCTCTTTTTCTTTAACATTTCAGCACTGAGAAAAAATTGGAGTTTCTTTTCTAAACAACTCGCCGACCACACAGGTATTTTGTACCTTATTGTATCCATTTGAAAAATCTTCTAAAGGACAAAGAGAAAAATTTACTCGTTATTTTTCTGAAAATTAAATTAATTCATCTTTCTTTCTCGTTATCTAGTTTGTCACCTAGTTTATATCTTCTCCTATCTTCCTAGTCATTTTCATCGAAATTCTTCATACTCACGGCCTCTCTCATTTTCTCTCTCCGAGTCTTTTTCTGGCCTTCTTCTTTTTTCAAATCCTCGGGGACGCTAATTCATTATTTTCTCTGGCAGCCTGTCATCGTGCATACGCCCGACATGCTCGAACGTCAAATCAATCAATTATTTACGAACTCGAAGTCTTATGAATTATAAATTTTCCGATTCCCAGGCTGATCTAGTCTACGACAAAGACGGAGGTGCTGCGAAGGGGGAATCTTAAAACCTTACGAATTATAAATTCTTCAGATTGATCTCGGGCAAGGACGAACCCACGCCGATCGAAGTCAAGACGCATCCCTTCCAGCAAACGTCGCAGCCGCAGGAGTTCAACATCGGCACGGCCAGCAGCGCTCTCTTCATCGGCATGGACTTCGTGCTGGTGCCAATTACTTTGGCGGTGGACATGGTGTACGATCGCGAGGTAAGTATCCATTTTACATCGAGCTTCTCTGCTTGATTAAAATATACAGGAGTGTTACATGACATACCGTGCGAACTTGAAAAGCATGTTTCCAAAGAAGTAAAAATCAGTGTAAATCAAAATCTACAAAACAGATGTCCGTCTGTACGACGTTTTCAACATGGCTTTAACTAGTCTTACAAACTTCCGTCATCAGTGCCCAGGACGGTCTTAAGGCCACAAATAACCGAAGATAGACGTCATTGTGTCGTCGCTCTGCTGCTGCTTGGGATGTCACGTGACACAAAATATAACGTTATTACCTTCTCTCGCGCGGCAACGCGTAAACGACGACGATAAACGAGCCGGACGTTCCGCAGATCAAGGCGAAGAACCAGCTCCGCGTGAACGGCCTGTCGTTTCCCATGTACTTCCTGAGCTACTTCATCGTCCTGGTCGGCCTGATGACCTTCATCTGCATGTGCATCCTCGGCATCATCTTCATCTTCGACGTGCCTTCGCTCCAAGAGCCACCGGCGCTCATCGCCCTCAGCACCCTCCTCATGCTCTACTGCCCGTCGTCCATCCTCTTCTCGACCTGCCTCAGCTACATGTTCGACAAGATGGACTCCGCCCAGAGCATCTTGCCGAACATCGCCACTTTCTTCGGGCTGGTACCCTTCGTCATGGTCATGATCATCGACATGTTGGGACTCGGTAAGTAGTAATCAAAACGCGATCAGAGTCGACGACAGCTCCGTTGGCGCTCCTGAGACGCTGATGGAAGTGGACACTCGAAGAATCGCGACGTCGCGCCTTCCTCTTGACGAAGTGTGGTTGTCTGTTACGGCCTGTTGCTCAAGGTGGGACAGCGGCGCTCACGTTGCACGTGATCTTCTGCCTGCTGAACAGCATGTACGTGCCGTACGCGGCGGTGTACTACGTGGACCGCGTTTACCTCATGTGCTCGATCAACGCCGCCTGCCATCACCTGACCATGTCCGATTACCTCACCACGGAGATCATAGTGATGGCCATCGCGGTGCTGCTGCACTGCCCGATGTGGTTCTTCGTGCTGCTGCTGTTGGATATCAAGAAGAGCGGCGGCAAAGTCAGCGACTTCTTCAAGTATTACCTGGTGAGCGCGCGGTTCGCGATTTCGCTGGATGCACCTCGTTGCACCTCTCGCCTTGTGTCTTCGTTTCGTTGCTGAAGTGCGAATGCGTGTATGGAATACGACGCGTTGCTTTCCTACCTTGCAGAGAAAAGGCGGCTCCATCAGCGAGGAGATCATGGAGAACTCGGACGTCGGCGAGCACGAGGACGCGGACGTGAAGACCGAGAGACAGAAGGTCTTCAACCTCATCACCTCGTCGGCCGTTCAAGAACCGCCCGTAGTCTTGGTGCAGGTGAGTTGTCGCCCCGATGCAACCTTATGCGACGTTCGTTGCGCCCTCGAGTAGCGACATCGGCTCAGGGTTGGATAATAATCAAGTAAAAGTTAAGTTAAAAGGTTAATAACGTAGCATAGTTAATTTTAAATGAGGTGACTTTTAAACTGAGCCGTTCACTTCAAATGCATGGACTTATTAACTTTTCTTATATAATTTTTATATAATTTTAATTTTTTTTTATTATTTAAATATTTTTTATACGTATCAAAATATCTCGTCAAAATTAGAATCATTGCGAACTGCTTACAATAAAGTAAGAAAAATGAAGAATAACGCCAGCTGAATTTTATTTCATCTTCCTTTCTGAACGATAGTGCTCGTCCTTTGCGTGAAACCTGAGCACAAAACTATCGATATTTTCTTATGATAGGCTATTTCTTCATTACTTCACATAAATTACAAATGGTTGAAAAAACGAAATGTTACTTATGCAAAAACACACACACATATATATATACTGATTAACGATTAACTTTTATAAACTTAACGTTGATAATTTAATTTAATTTTAACGTAACTTTTAAGTTAATTTTTGTTTAAGTAATTTTTAACTTAACCAAGTTAATTTTATAGGCCATTAACTTTTAACTTAGCTTGGTTAAAAAAAATTAATTTATCCAATCCTGTATCGACTTGATCTCTCTCTCTCTCTCTCTCTGTATATGTGTTACGACGTCACTTCGCGAACTTGTCCCACATTTCACACTGTGAAACGCATACACGAACGCAGAACCTGAGGAAGGAGTATCGGCCACAAGAGGCGGGCTCGTCCTGCGGCTGCTGCTCGAAACGCGAGGAGCAGCAGACCTCGCAGCGGAAGGTCGCCGTGCGCAATCTCTCGCTGGCCGTGGAGCCCGGCGAGGTGCTGGGTCTTCTGGGTCACAACGGCGCCGGCAAGACCACCACCATGAAGATCATCATCGCCGAGGAGTCGGCGACGAGGGGCAGGGTGCAGATCGGCGGTCACAACATCAACACCCACATGGCGGATGCTTTCAGGCAGATGGGCTACTGTCCTCAGCACGACGCCCAGTGGAAGAACATCACCGTGCGGGAGCATCTGGAGTGTTACGCCGCGATTCGCGGCGTTCCCTGGAGCGACATCGACAGGTTCCAACTTTCTTCTTGCTTTCCTCTCGGCACGGAGAAAAGCGGATTCAGAGGAGCAAATTTCACGCTGTCGTAGTAAATCAATAAATATACTAGGTGTTTCTGCGAGTACCGTCCAATATTGCAGGAGTTGACTTTCGAGGTCATTTTATGCGGAAATAAGCATATACAGGGTGGTCTGTCGCTAAGTGGAACACCCGTTATATATTTGTAGTTTAGGTCAATGTGAATAAAAGTGTCCTGTACTATATTTCGCAAATACCTTGAGTTATTAATAATCAAAAGTGGTCGTATATAAAGGCTTTTTTAATTAATAACTGAAAAATTTGCAAGATTGGCAAAATGATGAGGACCTTTTCGTTCACATTGACTTAAATTAAGTAACGACGAACGTCCCACTTAGCAACAGAGGGACATCCTGCATGTTCATGTAAAATTTCTTCATAAAATGACCTGAGATCTCAACTCCTGAAACATCGAACGATACTTAAGGAACACCCTGTACATTTACTTATTCACCACGGGACAGCGTAAAATTTGCTGGAATTACTTTTCCCCGTGTGCGCTGTAGTCGACGAAAGTGGCTCGAGCACGGTAGACGTGTCTGCGACGACTTCCGTTCGGAGAAACGCTAATTATTCTTCTCTCGGTCGGTCCTTGCAGAATCGTGGACCTCTATCTGTCCGGCCTGCAAATCCACGAGCACGCCGACAAGCAGACGCAGGAGTGTTCTGGCGGGACTAGGAGGAAACTTAGCTTCGCGATGGCGATGGTCGGCGGGCCCAAGGTGGTCCTCATGGACGAGCCGAGCACGGGCATGGATCCCAGGTCGAAGAGATTCCTGTGGGACACGATCCTCGCTAGTTTCCAGGTCGGTGCGCGTCCCAGTGCGTCACGAATCATTTCCTAAAGCTGCTCAGTATATTTTTTGGATGACATATTTTTCTCGATAACAATTGACAACAAATTGATATTAATGGAATAATAGAAAAGCTTAAAATTCAAGTTCTAACCGGAGCATTCGGCCGTGCTCGGTGTCTCTCAACAGGGTGGCAGGGGAGCCATATTGACCACACACTCCATGGAGGAGGCCGACGCCTTGTGTTCAAGGGTCGGCATTATGGTGAAGGGTGAGCTGAGGTGCATCGGCTCGACCCAGCACCTGAAGAATCTTTACGGGGCCGGCTACACTCTCGAGATGAAGCTCATGGGAGGCGACTGCACGCCAACGACTCCCTCCGGCGACAGGATCGCCGTTCTCAAGGAATTCGTCGCGGGCCTCTTCCCGGACGCTACCCTGGAGGAGAGCTTCGCCGACAGGCTCGTCTTCGCCGTGCCCCAACACGCCGTGAACTCGCTGGCCGAGTGCTTCACGCAGTTGGAGAAAGGTGAGCCGAGCGATTTCATAGCGCAGGGGGGTCCGATGAATTCAAAGTTTCGTTCTAAGGAGCGCGAATAAATCCGAGGAACGACGAAAGTGAAATTCGAGTCGGGACGATAAAGATCGTCTTAAAAGGAAAGATGTTACGAAAAGACCCGTTTTTGCTATGCTGTGGAGAAAGTGAGACAGACATCGGGTTTTCATAATTTTTCGAAGCGAGGGATCCAAATGTCTTGGAAAAAACTATAACCATATATAACTGTAATACATCATGACTTCCAGACTTATATCGGTACATGTAACGTATAGCGATTTAAACTCAATTCTTCACGTAGTCCCGTCATGTGATGCAAATCTGAATATCGAGGTATTTCATCCCATCCTAACATACCACGTTAAAGTAAGCGCTTTTGCACTTACACAATATACACGAGTATTGACCACATCGAAGGGCGATATGAAACTGACGGGAAGCAATACGGGCGGGGAGATTATATAATCTTACGATCACAAGACTGTTATCATTATTAACATCCGCCGCGCTTCTGCTTGCAGCCAAGCTCGAGCTGGACATAGAGGAGTATAGCTTTAGTCAAACTACCCTGGAGCAAGTATTCCTCAAGTTCTCGCACTACGACGAGGGCAACTCTGTGGAATGATGATTCGCGGTGATATTAGCAGTATACCGTCGTCGCCGCACGTCGACCCCGGTGACTCCGCGCGGGTCGACCGTTCGTCGCGCGCACGAACAGGAGACAGACCAGCGAGCCTCCTCCGAGGAGAGATGAACGGACGATGCTCGGGGG